TTATTCAGTTTATTGCTGACTTCTGTTGTAGATAATTAATAATAACTGAGGAAACAAAATTGAAGTTATATGATTTATTAGCAAAACAGGCATAATAAATGGCTCAGTGGACTCCCCAGTCAGTCCAAAGACCCTGAACACAGAGTGGGACAGATTGTTACATATTTAAAAAAAAAAGGAAGAACAATTAATTAAAAGAAAACAATTAACAGGATACAAACCAGGATACAACATTAGGTAATCTGATTTCTGATTGGAGGAAAGATGAAGGGTTTTCCAAACTGGGAGAAGGGAAGAATGAGTTTCAGTCCAGTTGGGAGTGGGGCAGGTAGGTTTTCAATGTCTTTCTTTTCCCAGAATTGAGAGCTGCTGATTAATTGCATCCACTTCGCATTTATGAAACAATGATGGCTTGCACCATCTAGTTTCCTGTGAACAATTTGCAGAAAAACAACAAGATGGAGGATAATGAATGTGGCAGCACAAGGTGGAGTCAGTGTTGGTGAGACAGAATCTGATTGGTTCTCCCAATGCCCACACCAAAGCAACTCCATTTTGTAAGTGGCCTTCACTCTACCTTGTCACCTTTCTAAATATGGTGCCCCAGACCGAAGCATATTTCACCGGGGCAGCCAGCAGCAAGTCTGTGACTTCCCACCTTTCGGATACTGTTTTATTTCATGGAACCTAAAATCCAGTTTGGTTTTTGGGGTAGCTTGTCATACTTTTCCCTCAACTTGAGCTCACAGTCCACTAAGACCTCCATAATTTTTTCATACTCTTTTCCAGACCTATGCAGCCTGCCTTGAAAAGAGGGAAGAACATTAGATTTAGCCTATGGGGACCTGGGTTCAAGTCCCATCTTTGCTTCTTACTACTTATGTATCCTTGGACAAGTCACTTGACTTCCATGAGACTCACTTTCCTCAGTTTTAGAACGAGGGAGTCATAGATGATCTCTGAGGGGGCTCCCAGCCCTACATTTATGACTCTTTGGGACTTGACTTTGCTGCTGAATTGATCTGTTTTCCTCTTTATTCAAGGTGTTCTTTATTCTTGTACTTCTTTATTTATTAGTGATTTAGAACATTTTTTCATATGGTTCTCGACAACTTTGATTTCTTCCTTTGAAAGCTGCCTTTTCGGACCCTTTTACGATTGATTTCTTGGTAAATTTGCATCTGTTCCTTAAATATCTTTGATGTGAGAGCTTTATCAGAGAAATTTGTTGTAAAGAGTTTTAGCCCGATTTTAAATGCATTGGATTCGTTTGGGTAAACACTTTGTCATTTTCTACAATCAAAGCTGTCCCTTTTATCTTGTGACCCTCTCACCTGTGCCCTCATGGATTTGCTTTGTTATCTTTCTGACTGGTTTGAGAAGACCAAAGACAAAGGAGAGCAATAGAGAATTGGGTGAACGAAGCATTTATTAAGCACTTACTGTGTGCAAAGCCCTGTGCTGAGTGCTTGGGCTACACTGAGAAAAGCCTGGCAGCCCCTGCTCCCAAGGAGCTCACAATCTAATGGGGTAGACAATGTGTGTGTGTGTGTTTGTGTGGGGGGGGAGGGCGGGGGGGGGAGGTGGTTTCATCTGCAAATCTGTTGTGCAAAGATCCCCTGGTCCTTAGGGGGCTGCCCCAGAATAAAAGGTCAGGCCTTTTATTGAATGTCAGTTCCACTGATCAAATCTGATCAGTTTCTGATGCTGACCCATTTGCCTGGGAATCAGAAACTGTTCCTATTCCTCAGGCTCATGGATTCAGGGTTCTGGGCTATCTGCCTGATCAGGGTCTGAGAGGAGAAGGTGGTCTGGGGGTGCTGGGTCTGACCTGCTTGGTACATGCTGCCTCCTGTCCCTCCCTCAAGAGGCCTCATTCCACGCCCCGCCCCCCGTCCCAATGCCCTGTGGGTACAGCCTAAACACTACAGAAATTAGTTATATATTAGGAAGATAGGACAGTAAGGTGGTGCAGTAGATAGAAGGCCAGGGCGGGAGTCAGGAAGACTCATCACCTTGAGTCTAATCCAGCCTCGGCTACTTACTAGATGTGTGACCCTGGGCAAGTCACTTAGCCCTATTTGCCTCACTTTCCACATCTGTAAAATGAGCTGGAGAAGGATACAGCAAACCACTCCAATATATTTCCCAAGAAAACCCCAAATGGGGTCATGAAGAGTTGGGCATGACAGAAAAACAACAGAAAAATGTGATAAGAGGAGATATCTGCACTTCTTTCCCAGTCCTCCTTAACCTTAGTGCTTTCCTTCTGAGGTTATCTCCATTTTATCCTGTATATACCCTGTTTGTACCCATTGTTTTCATGTTATCTCCTGCATTAGACTGTGAATTCTTTGAGGGCCAGGGACCGTCTTTAATCTTTTTCTGTGTCACTTAGCATGGCGCCAGCACATCACAGGTACTTAATAAATGTTTGTTGACTTTAATGACATTTCACATGAGGCCAAAAACCCCAAGCAGTAGTTGACTGGGAGAGGACCTAGATTTTGATGAAGGATGCAGTGCTAGGTTGAAGCAATACTGTTATGGTCTAGAGACAGAGAAGGAAGGCAGAAAATCAGAGCCATGTGGGAACATGACAAAGGGATCTGGCTTATGGAACTGTCCAAAAGTCCCAGGACTGACTATAACAGGTAATAATAATAGTTAGGTTTGCAAAGTGTTTTGCAAATATTATATCTTTTGATCCTCATAACAATTCTGAAAGATAGGTGCTATTACTATCCCCATTTCATAGATGAGGAAACTGAGGCAGACAGAAATGAAGTTTGAAATGAATTTGCTCAAGGTGACACAGCTTCCAAGTGTCTGAAGCTAGATTTAAACTCAGACCTTCCTGACTCCAGGGCCCAGAGCTCTACCCATTACATCACCCATCTGCCTGGATGCTGCTGCCCACAGCGTTGCCAAAAGTAAAGAGAGAGCCAAGCTAATGCAGACACATGGACGAGTCTGCTCAGGGTGCTGGCTATGAGGGAGGTGAAGAAGACTTCTATAGCAACAACTTCTGTTACATGTATCCTCCGTGCCTTGAGCCCCCATCCAGCTGTGAAACTGGAGACCTCTCAAGCCAACTCAGATCTTGACTTGGGCCGTCAGGTGGATTTGCCCCACCAGCTGGGGCAGAAGAAGGATGGCCAAGAGCTTTAAGGAATGGGCTCCTGTCATAGCTCCAACATGGTGCCATGTGCATGCAAAAACTGGGACAAGAGAAGCTTCCTTTTTCCGACTCATTTGGGAAATGGTCTCCTCTGTTTCCAGTTCAATTATTTTGATGTTTCTTTGCTGCTGTTTCCCAGATATCCTTCTGCTAGTGAGGCATTAACCAATCATGATCTGAGTTGCTTTAGAGGTCTTCAGTTTCACACGTGGATGGGGGCTCAAGATATGAAGGAGGGACAGCTAGGTGGTGCAGTGGCTAGAACACTGGCCCTGGAGTCAGGAGGACCTGAATTCAAATCCAGCCTCAGACACATAACACTCACTAGCTGTGTGACTCTGGGCAAGTCACTTAACCACAATTGCCTCACCAAAAAAAAAAAAAGGATACATATATCAGAAAACTCCCCCCACAGACATGAACTTTAGAGCATGTGAAGGGCTAAGTGTCTAGTCTTTGGGCACAAATAAAATGGGGCTAATAATACTAGTGGCAAAGAGCTCCAGACCTGGAGTCAGGAAGACCTGAGTTCAAATCTGAGTCACTTAATCTTGTTTGCCTTATTTTCCTCAGCTGTAAAATGAGCTGGAGAAGGAAAGGGCAAACCACTCTGGTATCTCTGCCAAGAAAACCCGCCTTGAGTCATGAAGAATCAGACACGACTGAACAATGGTAATACTTGAATTGCCTAATACACAGGCCTAAATAAACAAAGCACTTTGTAAAGTGCGGTACACTAGGAACTCATCTGAGAAGTCCAGGCTCGAGAATGTCACGGTTTGGGAGCCACGCCAGCCACCAGAGTAGATTCCTCTATTCCCCTCCCCCACTGGTGCCTTAGGCGGGCAGGGTTGTTTTGTCACTTGCTGCAGCTCAGAAAATTCATCCTTTCCTGCTGGGCTTCTCTGCACCGAGGAAGGCTGTGTGCCATCTTGGACAAACTGTTTCACTTCTTTGTGCCTCAGTTTCCTCATTTGTAAAAATAAGGGTTGGTCTAGCTCAGGGGTGGGGAACCTGGGGCCTTGAGAACACATGTGCCACTTTTTGACTGAGTCCAAGTTTTACACAGCAAATCCTTTTCTTAAGGGGATTTGTTCTGTGAAGTTTGGATTCAGTCAAAGGCCCGCACTTGAGGATTAGAGGGCCTCACGTGACCTCGAGGCAGAAGGTTCCCCACCCCTGGACGAGCTTCTGGCTTCCGAGGTCTCTTCTACACGCATGTTTCTGAACTTGGGCGCCATGTCGAACAAGCCATTTCAGGGGGTTGGAGCAGAGGGCATCTGAGGTCCTTCCAGCTCTATGCTCTTTGGCATGTGGCCTTGGACAAATCACTTTGCCTTTCTGTACCTCAGTTTCTTCATTTGTAACGTGGGAGTCGGACTAAGAGGCCTCATCCCTCTGTGACTCAAGGTCCGCATCTGTAAAAAGGCTGGCACGGACGGCCACCGGCCCAGAGGTTCCTGGCAGTCCCCGGTCCGCGAGCCTCGGCGGTCCGCGAGCCTAGGTGCTCCAGCTCTGCACGCCGCCCTCCCTCCACCTAGCCTCCTACTGACAGCTGTCAGGCTTACGCAACCTCAGCCCTCTCTTGCCTTCTCCCCTCTGGCCAATGAACGGGCGCCGGCCATGTAAGGAGCGCCAGGCCACGCCCCCGCCCGGGCGTCCCCCAATGGCGGGGCCCGCCCGGCCCTGACGCACAGCTTTTTCATTGAGGCGGCGGCCCCGCCGGGGCCGTGACGTCACGCACCGGGGCCAATGCGCGGGCCGGGAGCCGGGCGCCCCGCCCCTCCGCGCGGCCGGCGGCTTTAAAGGGCGGCCGGCGACTCCGCGCGCCCCTTCTCGGGCCGGGCGAGGTGGCCGTGAGTGCCGCGCTCCGGGCGCCTGCTCCTCGGTCGGTGGCTGTGTCGGCGTCGCCGGTGGCGGCATGGCGGCCCCAGCAGTCCTCGCGGCCCCGCGGGCGGCGCGACTCCTGTGGCCGGCGCTGAGCGCCTGGCGCTCGCTGCACGTCACGGCGGCCAGGTGAGCGGGGAGGCGGTGATGGAGGGTGGTCCGTGTTCGGGCTGGAGAGGGAGGAGAGGGGGAGGAGGGGAGGAGGGGGGGGCCCGGGGGCAGTGACCCACTAGCCTGAGGGACCGGGGATGAGTTGCTGGAGGGAGCCTGGCCGGCGGGGCCCGCACCTCCGGGCCGGGGTGATGGTCCATGACGGGCTCCTTGGGGGGCGGGGCCGAGGCTGGTCAGTGGCCGGAGCCCAGACACCGGTGAGGGGGAGGGCAGCTGCACCTGCTCGGAGCCCCTCCCCCCATCCCGCGCCGGCCTCGCCGGTAGGGGGGGGGCGGCTCCGTCGTCCACGCCCATCCCAGGATGCCCCCTCTCCCCCGGTGGCGCTGGCCGGCCTGGGGGCGAGCCCTGGGATGGTGGTGGGGGGGGCATCCCTGAGGCCTCAGATGGCCAGGGCGGTAGGGGGGAGGGCAGTCGCGCAGGCTCGGGCTTTGGGGGCTGGCGTGGTCTTGGCGGGAGATCCGGGGCTTGGGCGGGGCGGAGACTTCCCCGGTGGCGCCAATTCTGACCCTTTTGGGTGCTCGGGTGGGGGGAGGAAGAGGAGGCGAGGTAGCATGGATGGAGGTGGGAGGAAGCGCAGCCCAGAAGCCGGGCACTGGGAGAGGGAGGGACCTCGGGCCGAGGGTTTAGTTTAGTCACCCCCACCCTCGTCATCTCTACAGCGGAGGAAACTGAGGTTAAATAAAGGCGGGGACAGGGACTTCTCTGAGGTCGCTGGGGAGCTCGGACCAGGGGCGGCCGCAGAGCCGGGACCCTAGAACTTGGGTCCCCCACCCCTAATTTATCTAATTGTCCTCCTCGCCGGTCCTGAGCTGGCGTGAGAGCAGGCAGGAACTTCGCTTTCTTTGTATCCCAGCGGTTAGCGAGCCTGTGCCGGGCAGCTTTGGTTACTTTGTGTTTGATAAAGGTGGGTGGACTTACGGACTGGATCTTAGATTTAGAGCCGACGTGGGCCCCGGAGACCAGTGGCAGAGACGCTTCTGGCCTCCAAGGGGCTCGCTCTCTAATGGGGAGACGACGTGTACAAGCAAGTAGATAGGAAGCGAGCTAGAGACAGGGCAGATCGGAAAGAATTACAGAGAAGGCTCCCGATTTCCAGTAGAAGGGGATGGCATTTTAGCCGGGACTTAAAGGAAGGTAGGCCAATGTTTAGTCCTACTCTCCTTCTACAAAGGGAAGAAAAGGGAAGTGGTGGGACTTGGCTGAAGTCACAGCGAGGGAGTAGAAAGATCAGAATTATGGGTAACGAGGACAATTAACTTATGGTGCTTTAAAAAGCACTTGACATTCTATTTCCTTTGCGCTTGAGTGCTGTGGAAGGAGTGGTTGGTGCGTGGCCCAGGGTTTGGTGTCAGGACCTGGGTTCAGATTTTAGTTGTTGACCTGGAGATGCAGTGGATAAGAGTGTACCGGGAGTCAGGAAGACCTGAGTTTAAATTTGGTCTCAGCCATTTACTAGCCGTGTGACCCTGGGCAAGTCCCTTTAACCCATATTTGCACTCAGTTTCCTCATCTGTAAAAATGAGCTGGAGAAGGCCTGGACACAAACCGCTCCAGGTATTTTTGCCAAGAAAACCCCAAAATGGGGGTCACCAAGAAGTCGGGTGGGACTGAAACAACTAAACAACCAAGTAAGTAACTGAGGTGACCTTGGTGGTTCACTTTTTCAGTCTTAATCTAAATCAGCAGGTATTATCACTGCGCCTACCTGGTTGTGACCAGCTTGGATAATCCCCCTGGGCCTAGTTCAGTTATCTGTAAAAGAGGGAAAGCTCTTGGGAGCTGAGGGAGGAGCATTCCCCCTCTGGTTCTCAAAATGGGTGATTTGGGGAAAAGTCCTGGTGCTTATATCCAGGCATTGTTTATCCCGCTTTTACAGATGAGGAGGGAAGGGCCCAGATAAATCTCAGTGTTGCCGTCTCTGGGGCACCAGACCCCAGATGTCCTGACTTCAAAGTTCAGCATTTTTGTGTCTATCACTGACTGTTAAGTACGTCCTGTGATTCCATTCTCTGTACCTGGCTGTGGTAGGGATGGACAAAAACCACTACCTGCCCAGCTCCTGGGAGCTGATGCTGATATCCTGGGGAAAACCACTAGCTAAGTAATAAGTTTGTATATGCCAAGTAATAAAAAAGGGGAGGTCTGGCTTTGGGTGAAGGAGTGATGTTATAGGCAGTCAGTCAATGATTGCTTAATGCTATGTATAGCTTGGGCCCCCCAGGATCCCTTGGGGTTTGAACTTGTGGGAGTGCTACTGCTGTTCCTGCTCCCCGTAGCTCTGGGTGGAGAATTCTTTTAAGGGATGACGTGAGGTGTAGACAAGAATAATGGAGAATAATGGACCTTGGAAGGGAAGGTGGGAAGGAAGATGGAGTGCACTGGGGGGGAGGGATCTTGATCACCTCTAAATAACCAGTTTGTGTTAAGTCAGAAAAACAAGTCTCTTCATTTGATAAAGCTTCTTGGGGAAAAGGAAGAGAGGAAGAAGGCCTATAGGCTGGCCCCCCATGCTTTCCCCCTTTGCCAGTTTTTTCTTGGCCTTGCTAGCTCACCTAGTGGCTACAGAGGCTACTTGCAGGCTGATGAAATCCCAGCATTCATTTGCAAGCTGCTGCTGGAATGAATGTCTGAAGTCCTGCACAGCCTCCCCTTTTTTGCCACTAGATGGGGAAGAGAAGTGTTAACTGTGGAGAGGAGATTCAGGGCCATGGGAAGAGCTGAACATATATACATACACACACACACACCACACACACACACACACACACACACACACACACATATATATTTAGTAATTTTAGAGAAAAATTTGATCATGATAGTAACTACAGCTGGCATTTAAACAGTTCAGTTTTATAAAATGATTTCTTTACTTAGAGGATTTTGCTTGATCCTCACACCCTTGTGAGGTCCTTAAGTACAGCAGCAGCTGTCCACCAATCTTGTAATTTCAGAGATCAGTATTAGAGAATTGCAGAGAGAGAGAGAACCCAGGGGGAAGGGGTGGGGGAGAGAGAGAGAGAGAGAGAGAGAGAGAGAGAGAGAGAGAGAGAGAGAGAGAGAGAGTGAGAGTATGTGTGTGTGTGTGTGTGTGTGTGGAGGGGGAGGTTATTAAGTAAATGATTTCTGTGTTTGGTCATTTAATCTAGTTATCAGAAGGATTTGAATTCTGGTCTTCCAGGTCTAGCCTGGATTATAATGTCCACTTTACAGGTAAGGAAACTACACTGAAGTGAAAGACTTCTTGCCCACACAGCTGAGAATTATCCAGTAGTATTTGCTCCACTGTCCCTCAAGATCTGTCTTGCTCAGTTTCCAATGAACACATTTAGACCCTCTCAGAGTTTGGCCATACAATGGCAAGAGCATTGTATGTTTCATAAAGAAGGGAATGTTTCCTGGGTTTTCCATTTCCGTTCCTCGGATGAGTCGCAGTCATTAATAAAAATATAGAAAAACCAAATTCCTGAAAAAATTCTTTCCTGAGAACTGGATCTTGGCCAAGGTTTTCACACTCACACAGCTCTGTTACCTGGGCAAATTAGGAGAGCGTTATTGCTATTGAAATCAGAGGACTTTAGTTTGAATTTGTCCTGTTAAGATGGGGCAGTCATTTAACCTGGGTCTTTTTTCTGGCATATAGAAAATAAGATTGTATAATATGCCCTAGTAACTGACCATAAGGTTGCTGAGATTCATTTATAAAGTACTTTAAAGTGCCCTAGAAATGTTGAATTGTCAGTAAATTTTGGGTGGGTGGAGAAAGGAGGGGAGTACTTACATACACTACCAGTTTATCTTGCTCGTTGTGAGGAAAAAACGCTTTGCAAACCATAAGGTTTTAGCAAAGTATATGAACTATTTGTTTTTGTTCCATCTTCCCTCCCCTTATGTTTATGATACAGAAGTGTTGTTCTATTGAGATCCCACCCTTGGTTTAGCCATCAATCCCAGCACCACGATGGACATCATCTACCTGGTGTCCAGTTCTTTGCTAACCAGATGTGCTGCTGTGAATGTCTTTTTTTTTTTTTTTTGGCTAGGCAATGGGGTTAAGTGACTTGCCCAGGGTCACACAGCTAGTAAGTGTTATGTGTCTGAGGCCGGATTTGAACTCAGGTCCTCCTGAATCCACTGCACCACCTAGCTGCTCCTGCTATGAATGTCTTGACAATTTATTAGGAGGACTTTTCTGTTGATCTTTGACCTCTTTAGAGTATCCCTGCCCATCACCCCTCACTCCTATAAAACCCCTGTTTTCTCTCCTTTTTAATTTACTGAGAGTGCCGTGTCCAAGGTCAGTGGTGCTATTTCATGCCTAGCCTTGATGGGGTTGCTTTTTTTCTTCCCCTTGCCTCTCTTGGAAGATTTTGTCTCCTAGCTTCCCTTTCTCTCTCAAATCCTTGGCGGGCTTCTTCACTGTTTCATTCTGATCTGCCTGTGCCCTTGTCTTTTGGGCGTTCTTTACTTTTACTCTTCCTTGATGATCTCTGACCCTGATATTCTGAGTTTCAATGACACCTCCTCTTTGTATTTTATTTTCAGTGCATCTCCAGCTTCTTCCTTGAGCTCCGCATGTGTGTTTCCAGTTGCCTCACGCACAAGAAGTGGGGAGCTGAGGTTGGCATAGGTCAGTCACTAATTGTATAAGATAGAAAACTGAGGGCCCGCCTAGAGAGAGGAAGCTTCCATTTCCATGTAGACAGGGTCCCCTAGATGTTAGCTAGAAGCACAATTTTTCTCCTTTGACTAAATTCATCTTTCCTCTCCAGTTTTACTTCTCTTAAATGTCAGTGTCCTTGATAATAACAATAATAATACCTTATAAAAGATTTGCAAAGCACTTATAAAAACTCTTTGATCCTCACAAGCAATCTTGGGAGAGAAGGGAGGTATGCTACTAATATTATCCCCCTTTTATAGATGAGGAAACTGAGGCAGACAGGCAAAGTTTCTTG